AGAACGATTGACGCACACACCCGAGCAAAACGTACGCTCAGGCGAAAACACGCTCCGCGAATCAAACACTGCATGCTTGTTTAGCGAAATAACACGCTCAGCTGAGCAATGTTTCTTGTTTCGGGAATCCGCACAGCCACGAACATCGAGCGAAACATGTTTTGCTCCACGTTCAGGTGTTTTGCTCGGGTGTGTGCGTTGGGCTTTAAGCTAAGCCCGCGATATGAAACGAAAAGTCGCTCATGGTTTTAATTCATACGCGTAATGCTTCAAAGGAATGAACTGCCGTTGATAAAAATCAATTAAATACATATGGAGATAGCTGTCAACATGTTGGGCGGGCCAGCTTTTAAATGTGCCATCAGCTGACTAGACAGCTTCTCGCCCTTTAGATAAAACATCTTCACGTTACTTTTCCATATAAGGGGACCAGGAAACTCCATGAACACTTGTTCTGAAATTCGATTACCGAGTTACATAATTAAATCGCAATATATTTTTGTCAATGTTTACCTATATGCATCATTGTGCGTGTAGTAGGGGAGATCAGGGGATTATCTACTTTCTTTGGCTAAACTTGCCTTTCTGTGGAAATTGCATAATGGAATTCACTAAGAAAACGTGACTCACTCCACGGAATTTCGCGCTACGAACGTTTTTGTAGGAACGCATTACTCTCGCAGAACACGGAACATTACTGTAGGTATGACTGTAGGTACAATTGTCTACCCATATGCTAAGTTTAAAAATATGCGCCATACCACGGCGCGATGCCGAAAGGTGTCGCCACTGCCAACACTGGCAACGACACTGCGTTCAAAATACTGTAGGCTGATCACTGTATCACTAATCTCTATCATAGACTAACGTTTATATATATATATATATATATATATATATATATATATATCTATATATATATTATATAGAAGTAAAAACACACGAACACCCATGTAGATATGAAAATAAATATAGAAAAATAGAATAAGGTATTATTAAAATTAAAATTTTCTGAATCAGTAAAGCCCTGTCCGATGCAAGCCGCGACTAGCTCATATGAGTCTAAACTTGAACAATTCCTTAAGAAAACATGCCGTAAATTTCCGTCTGTCGGCTCATGGCTCGATCTGCTGTCTACTCGGCTACTGGGTTCAGCAGAAGGACAGCAAATCAAACACCCAGCTTTACACCAGAGAGGGTGAGTTGTGTACCCCATCCGACTTGGGTTAGTTACAGAAGGTGAGTGTCTAGGCAGTATACAGCAGTAATCCGCGTAACGATACCCCGACTTGCCCAAATTCGCACCTACCTATTTAAGTATTTACGTTTATTATGACCACTTAAGCACAACGCACACACCCGAGCAAAACTGGAAATTTTGTTTTTCAGCGTTTCGCGTTCTGCTCGGCGAGCAAGCGCACACACGCC